TATATATATATATATTAAGAAATTAATAGAAATAAATAATATATGTCCCATAAGTCACCAATGAGCATTTTGATTTCCCCATATAAGATTATTTCTGATTAATCAATACTTTCAAGGTTTAAGTTTGTATATTTGTAATTGTTAAATACTAAGAAAATGTCATCCATAGTAATTACTTACTCCAGGCTAAAGCAAAATTGCACATGTAAAAAATATCATGGTCTTACTAAAAATATGTGCACAATTTTTTATATTATTATTTAATATATGATATGTTAAACACTTAAATGTGATTTTTTTTATTGATCGAGAATGAATACATATTCAACATAATAAATGCATTTTGAAATTTTGAAGGTTATTTTTTGTTTTTGTGTGAATTAGGATATCTTTAATAAAAATTAAAGACTAATTTTTCAAGGATTTATTTGAAGTCTGATTGCTAATATATATATATTTTTTTACTCACTATCAATTATTCAAGGTTATGCATGCAACTGTAAACAGCCAATTTGAGAGTTTTGTCTTCTAACCAGGTACAATTCTAATGACCCCCACAAACCATTGGAACTCGGTATCAGTTACTTTGTGCCTAATTTGACACGAAGTACAACTACTTGAAATTTTTCCATATGCTCCATTAGCTCGCGAACATAGGTTGCACACATAGGCCATAGATGTAGGGTAGAAACAAAATGGCTGTGTGTGGTGGCATGGTTAATTATTTGGGATGTGGGTTCTATAGTTGGGAGCCAAAGGACCCTTTTTATTATTATTGTTGTGTTGGTTTCATTTCATTTAGTGGTCCCAACGGGCATGCTTTTGAAATTTACTCTACTCCAAGTTCTTGGAGGGACAGCATGTATAAATCCCTTTTGCAGAAACCACAAAAAAAACTTTAACTCCTTCCCAAGTTGAGTTACAGCGACAGAACAAGGTCTAAAGCAGTCACCACTACTAAGACAAGAGACTCAAACAAAATGTGAAAATGCAGGGCATGAAGTTGCCACAATCAATGGCTCTGGCTGCCACCAATAACAATAACAATGTCAGGTTGTGTTGTACGTGTGGCTATAACACTGTAAACTTTGTCATGCCTGGCCGAAAAAACAAGGATTTTGGCACTGTTCTCTTTGGCTTTGGTCTTTTGGATGGGAACTAATGTGGAGCTGAGAAAAGTGGAATTGACGGTAACGCTTATCAACTATTGTTTGGGATCATTACAAAGACATGAAGAACAATCATGTGTCCCGTCGCTTTCTGTGGTTTCACGGAACAGACAGAACATCCCTAGAAAATCATTCACCAAAAATAAAAGTTAAAGTTCCCAATTTTGAATGTAGACTAGCTAGTAGTGTACGACCCTTTGAAATTGATCACTTTTTGTAGAAGGGATCTTTATTCCACAACCAAACCCACATTGTTTTTATGATTAATTTCCTGGTGAGAATTTATTTATTTTTCTCTTTATTTACAAATGGGAGGAATTTGGAGGATTTCCCATATCAATGGGGAGGACACCAATGAATGACATGCAGACTGACTCACCAGAAATATTATTATATAAGCTTAAAACTGCAATGCTCAACTAGTGCTAACGAGAATCTTGTTTGTGCCATATTTTTAGGACACTGCATTTATATTGTACACCCAGTTTTCAAATAAAATAAAATATATTTAATACGTACTATATATTGAAAAGATAAAATAATACATGCATTTATAATATAAAGTATTTTTTTCACATTGGATCTGAAATTAATTTTACTCAGTATACTATAATTTTAGTTGACTTTCAGAGGTTTTACACACAAATGAACAAGATTGAACAATAAGTCTTCCATAAATAAATCGATCTCACAATATGTGACAGTGGGCATCTAATCACTATGCTAATATATATATTTTTAATATTATTTAATCACAAATTATGATGTACAGTAAATTTTTTTACTTTAACAAAAATTACCTCAAAAGACATTTATCATAATTTTTAATAAGTTTATTTTGTTTATATCGATAGTATACAGAAATTAAAATATTTTTTAAAATATTATTAAAATGTATTGACGGATATATTGTTTTTTACATTTTCACTTAATTATAAATTGTCATATATAAAAAAAATAGTAAATTTTATTTAAAAATAATTTAATTAATCTTAAAATATGTGTTTGAGTTTAACTAAATCATACAAAATTAATATATAAAATGAGAGTTATTTTTCACTTATACACTCTAATTTAATTTATTATTAATTGATTCAAATTTAAGTTTTTGCCCGTTAATTAATCTAAAATAAATTTTGATATATTTTTAAATATAAGTTTGAGCTTAAGTTAATTTTATAAAATTGACTTTATAAGTATTTTTCTCTAATTACATGCATTATTTTGAATTTATCATACTCAAGTTTTTTAATAATTATTTAAAATTTATGCTGTTAATATTAGGGGGTGGACAGAAAAAATTTAACTAGTGATGAATTAAATTGCATTATAGAAACTCAACTATTTGTAAATAAGCTAAACTGAAATGTTTTTTCTTTTAAAAAATATTTATTAAACAAAACTATTTTTATAAAAATTAAAGATATTAAAAATGGTTTGTCTCAATGAGACTCGACGGTCTAAATTTAAAAAAAAATGATTAAAAAGAAAATGTTTCAATGTGGTTGGGCTCAGTAGGTAAACTAGATTAGGTTAGGTCACAAATTTCTAGACTTAAAACTTACCCAATCTAATCTAATTTGCCTGATATTTATAATATTTTCTTGTTATATTTAAATAAATAGGAAATAAAATAAAATAGACAAATTTAAATTGTATTAGACTAACAAATCAAAACAATCGATTGAAAGCACCAAAACAATCCGTTCAATTTGAATTACATTAAAGCTCAAACTTTTAAAGTGAAAGAAACAAAAATAATACATCAACTCAGTTCATCTAAATCATTTTATAGTTCAAACAAACTTTTTTAAATTTAATGTAATTTTTATAAGCTGAATTCATTTTGTCCATCTCTAGTTAACATATGTAAGTTAAAATTTAAATTAAAAGAAGAGTTATAAGAAAAAAAATAAATTATTTGTAGCAATTATATATTTCTCATAATATAATATCAAATTCAATTGAATTGGTGCAAGGAACACGATAAAAGAGCCTTTAATTTGCATATGGTATCTGACTACTATTTTGGTTAGTGTGATTTCCTTCATATGGTCACATCTAGCTGAGAGTTTTCCAGGCCCCCCCTTCAAACGACTATGGTTTTATTCTTTGTGATCATAATTGAGAAGACATTGCACCAATTTTAATTTATTTTTATTTATTTATTGTAAGACAAGACTCCAAACAAAAGCACAGACCCTCTTGCTCAGGTCTAAAATGTACTCAAATTTTGTCTTCTTTAAAATAAATGGAAATTCAGATGTGAATATGTCACCATCATTTGATAATTCGTGTATCAGATAATCTGAATTGTTTACCCGATTCAGCTCTACATCTCTAACCTAAGGTGACCCTACTAAGATTATGGCTAACATGTAACAACAAAGGAACTAGGAAAATATTCGTTAAACCCAAGGAAAGGATGTGCTCATGTATATAACATAGGTTTTTTGTAGTTTTGTGTTGCTACAGAAAACAGGTGACCTTAGCATGGAAAAAATAAGGCATCTAAATATCAAGAATTTATTGATAATTAATAAACTAATTGAAAGTCAAAAAGTTAATTAAAAGTTAAAAAAAGTAATTTTAATTAAAAAATTATAAACTATTGAGCTAATTAATAAATGTAAAATTGTATAAAGAACATGTTAATACAATGTTCTTTAATTATATAGATTATATTTTATTTTACTGATAAAAATATATTTAAAGGTATTTTTTACAAGTGTGTTTAGTTAATGTTTAAAAATCAAATAGTTATTAAAATGAAATAAAAACATAAATAATTTAATAATTAAAATAAATATTTAATATTACACTTATTTTGTCCAACCTGATTTGTTCCACAAGTCAGTTTAGGACCCTAAAAGTAAGGCCCGAAAAGTCAAGCCAATTTGCTTTGGACACATAAACCATATTTTCTTTTTATAAATTTGTACATACTTTTTAGAATTTTATATTTTCTTAATCTATAAATATAATAATAATAACCACAAGATTTGAATATAAGATTATGTTCATATTATTTGAACCCTCATAATTAATTTTAAAATTTTATTTATTGAATATGCCTAATTTAATTTAATTTTTTATGTATTTTAATTAAAATTAATTTGACTTGTTAGCCTAACATAAAGTCATATTAGATCATTCAATTTTAAGTTTGAAAGGAGGTTGATTTGGTATAACCAAATCAGTCTAACCTAACGAGTTCAAACTGAATGACCTCATTTTCAAACTCTATTATTATGATATACTTTAGTAATGACTGTTAATTAAGTTTTTAGCTCATATTTTATTTTAAAATTTGTTTTTTAATTTTTAAATAAGAATTTTATTAGTCAAGGTTACTTAACTTTATTTAATTAAAAATTTTAATCTTGAACAAAAGTTCATAATTTCTAAACTTAAAAAAAAAAAGTTAATTTTTAGTCTCTAGACAAAAAATTAAAAAATATTTTTATCTATTTAATGAGATATTTGGGCGTAAAAACCAAATTTTTAAAAAATTTACTAACGTTTGATCAAACTTTTGCTTAAACACTAAAAATCTTAATAGAAAAAGTTATTAAGGGACTTTTTGATGGTCAAAATTTTGTTCAGAAACTAAAAAAAGATTTACTTTAAAAAAAATCTAAATACATAATTAACCATGAGATTTAAAACGTATATGATATTGCAATATCGAGAGTTTTAATTACAATCACCTTAGTCAAATTATAAGTTATAATAACTAGCTTATATTACATTCTTTTGAAATATAACATTGAATTACAATAAGAGTTAAATAAAGTCTCTTCTAAAAATTCTTTAAATTTTTATATTTTATGATATTAAATTGCAAAGACTCATATAATTTAAGAAAAACTTGATAGTTTATTGTTTGATAAAAAAATATAAATAAAAAATATTTTTCAAAAATGTTCAAGAGTAGGATGTTTTCCTCAACTATAAATGTATAGCAATTTTAATTTTAATTTTAAGCTATTTTTTAAATAATTAAAATAAAATAAAATAGTCAATGTGAAAAGTCTTCATCGTAATATTAATATTTGATTACTCAAATTAAATTTTAATATTTTAAAAAATCAAATTTTCAAGCCTCTCTATTATTTTATATTTTAATTTAAATATTGTTTAAATTTGAAGTTTATGTAATGTAATTTAATTTATTGATAATAGTTAACATCAATTTACATTTGGTTACTATTTAATTAATGGAAACTTGGTTTTAAATATTATAAGCAATATTAAAGTTTCTTCAATAAGTATCATATGTTGGATATTTATATATTATTATTAAAATAATATTTACTTTACTAAATTAAAGTAAATTTTAATAATTTTCAAAATATTTATGCTATACAAAAAATATTTGTTAATTAATACATCTTTTATCATAATTATAAGAAACTCAAACCTATTTTCACGTGTATTAATTGTTAATTTTTTTTATTCTTAATTAATTGTAAAGTCAATTAATGAGTTTTTTTTTATGCAAGAGAATGTATTCGGTAACCTATTAATAATATAAATCATACTATTGGTGAAAAAAATTAAGTCTTGAATGTTAAAAAAATAATATAAAATAAACTTTCTTGAAGTATGAGAAATATTGTTAAGGGAAATAATACCTATACTCTAATATTCTCTTATAAATTCTTACCATCAGTTAAAAATCACAAATTTGTTACATTTCGTCACTAAATTAATTAAAAATTTTCGTTGAACAAAATGTGAGACTTACAAAAAAATTATTTTTAATAAATTTTAATTAATAATAATAAAATTATTAAAATAAATAAAAACTAAATAATAATAATAAAATTATTATATATTAAAAAAAAGTGTTAGCTAGAGACAGTGTAGCTAGTATTCCTCATCATTAAAAACAAACTTCACTCACTATTTTATTATATGTATATTTTTAGATTGAAATTTAATTTTATAATATTTTCAATTAAATGAAAATAAATGAACTATTTTTATTGGTATTATTGAATTAATAATCTTTGGGATAAAAGTCGTAATATTAATCAATTATTTTCACCCCTTTCTTTTGCAATTATCTTTAAATGTTGATTTTTTTTAAAAAATTACAATGTACACTTGGAGTGAATATTTATATTTGTTTTAAAATATTTCTTACAATTTTGTTTGTCGGAAACACAAACTAGCTGGTTTATTATACTACTGCTATAGGTACACAATACACTGTATTAATTATTTCTGTCACCATCACCCTTGTATGTTATAATATTGAATTGCATATATAGATACGTATTAAGAACGCAAGAAACCAACAATATAGTGAAACTACAAAATAGCTAGAAAAGGGTCAGAGTAATTAATAAACATTCATACACTAAATTAAAGTTATAATTGAATTACGCAATTACTACTTTATGGAGTAAGTGACAATATGCAATCGTAATTGCAAATAATTAAGATGTATTTATATACAAGTTCTTTTATATTTCTCTGTGTTTTATTCTTTTAGTAATACAATGAATCTTTAAGTCTTGTGTTTAAGTTTATTAGGATAAAAAGTTTACTAATTAACAATTTCATCAAATAGTAATTATATATAAAAATTGTAACATAATGAGATTTCTATTATAATTTTATAAGAATTTAACAATGACTTAGTATAAAAGATTTTACACTGTATATCGATTTAAAATTATTATTTTTATAACTTTTAAAATAATTATTGTACAAGTTAATAACTTACAATCAATGAAAATGATAATTTGTGTGTGATTGGATGAATGTATAAATTTGTTTTACTATGTGAATGTATAATTTATTTTCCTCATATTTTAAATAGATTTATTCCTCGGATTGTAGTTATAAAAATTATTTACTCAGAATAGTAAATTATTGATCGATTTAAGTACAATTATTAGCCACTAAAAAGCAATGGGACATGAGAATTTGAGTACCTTACCTCCTCATTAAGTAAAAATAGAGTGAAAAAGAAATAAAAAGAGACGAGATAAAAAGAAATACTAAATTTTTATTATTTATTTGAGAAGAGAAATAGAAATACAGAAAAGCTATTTAACTGAGACTAAGTGAAAAACCGTTTTTGTTTTTGCAAATTAAAATGAAACAAGAGGAAAATTTTCTTCTTTTTTATTAATTTTTTTTAAAATTTTTACAATATTTTAAAAGATAATAAATAATTTATATTAAAAATATTAGATTAATTTTTTAATTGGTATAAAAAAATTGTATTTTTTTATATTATTTTCATTCTCTTTTCTATTTTTCAAACAAAGAAATTTTTATATGTGATGTTTGATTACCCGTTTAAAATTTGTAACTTAATTGATCTCACACACAATACTTACATCTTTGACAAAAACAAACATCTAATTCAATTGAGTGTAAATTATAAGTAAATTTCAATTGAATTAAAAGTTAACAGAGTATTTTTTTTTAGTTATTTGAAAATTTAAGTTTAACTTAAATGAATTTTGTAACTATAATCCATTCATATACTCAGTCTTTAAATCTTTTAAAAAAGTGTCTTATTTATTATATCATTGAAAAATAAAAAAGGACTAAAATATATGAATTTTTATAGACTAAAAAGCTAAATAATATTTTTAGAAAAATAAATTAAATAAAGTAAGTGTGATTTACCGAGCAGATTGATATGAAAGTTTTCCTCAATTGGAACGATGTTTTGTGTCTTTTTGCTTTTTACATATGTATTTGAGTCTGGAAATGGCCGAAAACAACAGTGGCCAGAAACCCATATCGCAATGATGACGAAGTGAGACCCATCTCATCCCAACCACACCACAAGCCATCACAAAAAACATTACACATCCACGAGATCATACATACATAAACACACCCAAAAGGAGAAAAGTACACTTACTAATTACTGGGGTATTAGGCTGTTGTAGAGTGTAAAAGCTAGGCGTGAATAAAGAGGCACAAAAATGCAAACTAAAACTCGTTTAAATTGAAGAAAAAAACACTAGAACAGTTTAACTTTGAAGCAGTTAATGGAAGCAAACCTTTTGCTTTACGCTATGTGGTGAATTAATGCCTCTGCTGTGACTGTGCCTCCAAGCCAACTATATGATCAGTAAATATTAAATATGAAATGTGAACTCAAACTTCACTTTGTTACCCCTTCTATTCTCCCTGCACACAAAGGTATATTACTGTTACTGCAGGCTTTCAATTTAGGATTAAAGACATGCATCAACTGCAGCTAGCTAGTGGGTAATTAATACACCTATAAATATTTCTTTTACTCTAGAGTGGCTACATGCACTAATAGAGGTTTTAATTTTTGTTGCTATATGAAGTACTAACTCATCATGTTAAATTTTTCATGACAAAATCATGGTCTACCTAACTGCCATTTTAAAAGCACAGACAATAATAAGAAAGGATGGTGGTGTGGTGAATAACAGACAATACATATTTGTGTGGTAGCAGTTTAGTAAAGTTGAAATTAAAACATGAAATTTGGCTGGTTTCAGTGAAACATAAGTAGAACTACACACAGGAGTAAGGTTCTAGATATGCAGAATTTAGAGCAAACCTCAAGAGTCAAATTTTTTAAACTAATTTGGCTGGGAAGGGAGGAAACACAGGCTTCATCATCATGCATGGCCTTGACCAAGACCAATTTTATATGCCAAATTGCAAAGGAATTATGGAGAAAGAAATTGATGAGATATTATAATGTTGTTTTGGAGGGGAAACAAAGAAAGAAAGGCGAGTTTGGCAGGAAGCATGAATATATGTTATAAAGGAAGAAGAAGGAAAGAAGCACAATCGAAAATAACATGGAATTATTTAAGGATTAAGTTCGGTGATTTTGGTAATGATCACATGCATGAGACAAGACAATTAGGTAAAGTAATCTTTTGGTATTTAACACAACTACATGTTTAAGATTCTAATTTGAAATTACTTAATTATTAACATAACTGTATGTTTAAGACTCGATCTCAAAATTATTTATTAAACTGAAATAATTTTTTATCATTTAGAAAATACTTTTTAACTATGGATTTCTAGCATGGAGGGCTTCTCTTTTGTGGTATTATTGATAAAAACATTAAGGAAAGTCGATGGAGCAAGCAGTGTTCAGAAATTGGTCTTCACTGCCTTTAAGAAAGGAGCTTTAAACGAGAAACGAGATCTAAGAAGGGCTTTAGGAGCACGAAAGCGTGCCACTTTGATTATTTAAAAGGGTAAAAAACAATGAAGCCTTTTTATCTTTTGGGAACAAGGAAAAGAAGCGCCACATATATTAATGTACAATTGCAGAAAGGAGCATTTGGATGCATAGAGAGCAATGAAAAAGGAATTGCAGAGAGTATATAGTAATGCAAAGGTGTGAGATTCCATACATTGATAGAGAGAGAAGTGGTGCTGTGCTGTGCTGTGCTGTCTGGCTCTGGTGCAAAGCTTAGTATCAGTAATTTTCAGTGCATTTCCCAGCAGGTTCCGTAGTTAATTTGGCTTTGGAGAGTAAAGAAATAATTTAAGGGAAAGAGGGGTAGTGAAAGTCTGATAGAAAGAAAATATGGTAGAAGAGAGTGTGTAAGTGTGTTATGTATGTCAGTTAAATGGAAAAAGAGAGAGAAAGAAAGCAGAGGAGTTGTGGTTTGTGGCGAAGCATGTGTAATGTAGGGAGGGGTCAAACTTTTATAAAGCAGGAACGAAGGAGGGCACTCCCTACGAGGGCCTCATTCCTCCCCACCCTACTGCCTTGTACCTCTACGTTTATTTTACAACTATATCTCTTATTTATATAATTTTTTTTTTCTCTTTTTATTACATCAATTAAGTTTAAAAGGAACAAATACAAATAGGTTAGACATGAAAAAAGAAGATTCAGACTCTCATCGAGTTTTGTGTCATTTTTAATAGTTTGTTTTTTTTTTTATATATATATTTTTTATAAATATTATTCTTAATTTAACATTGTATTTTTTATTAAATAGTGTAAAATTTTATTTTTTTGTAATTTTTATTTTTATTAGTGTATATAGTATTTTAAGAAAGGTGTAACTAAAAAGGATATATGAACAGGGCCAGATCTTTTAAGGGACCGGGGGGAGCCACGGCTCCCCCAAACTTTTCTAAAATCTGATATATATTTTAATATTATATTTATATATTATTATATTATTAATTGTAATAAAATTAGAAGTTTGAATCTATTCTCTCTCTCCCGGTTAACTTCTCAAAGAAGCCTCCAAAGTTGAAAGCAGAAGCCGAAAAGCCTTTTCCTTGAATCAAGAATTCTCTTTTAATCACTCACTCACATCCATGGCTTTCTAGTCCTCTCCCCTCCTAACATTATCAACTAACCAACTAGAACTTCTCTTCTCTCCGATGCCTTCATCCTTCACATTGGTATTTTTTCTATACCATTTTTCACTTATTATTTTTCTTCTCTTATTGTTTCTCTGCCAGTGTGTGTTTTGTTTCCCCTTTTTCTCATTTAGCTATGGTCTTTGTGTTTATCATTCCTTATGATGTGCAAATGAAATCATATAGGCAGTGGCGAAAAATAGAGAAAAAAGACTTTTGGGTTGCGTTGCAAATTTGAATTTGCATTGGACTTTTTGGTGAACTAAATAAAAGCTCATTTCCCTTTTTGCTAGGATTGACTTTGGTTATCTTAGGACACAAAGTTTAGTTTATTTTTTAAATTTTCTTGTCAATATACTTCCACTTAAAAGTTGTTTTGCTCTCAAAGTCTCTTTATTTATCAGAAATGGTTTTGGAAATTATTATTGATTTTTTATGTTTTCCTACTTTCCTTGATTATTTGGTTTATTATGATTTATAAACATTAGTTCCTCGCTTAAATGCAATTGTATATGGAATGAAACAAAAATTTTACATATGTGTTTGTTATGGTGCATTGTTCTATTCTTGAAAAAAAAAGGATAAAGATAAAATTTACTAGCAAGCATTTTAGTTAAAAGCTCTGAAACAGTATTTTGCATTGTGATAATTGTGAAGATAAATTTTTTTCCTTTTTCCATATAAGTGAAAGACTGAAAAGTGATAAATATATATTAGAAAAATTATGATAAAGAGTAAAAGAATTGATTCTTTTTTCAAGAGGAAGACTTGTGAGAAAGATGAACAAAAGGCAACTTGTATGTCAAGTGAACTTGAGAAATTTCCCAAGAATCCAAGAATTGAAGAAAATGAGAAACAACTCTCAAAGGTTCCTAGAGTTACATATAATGAATTTGAAATTCTTTGGAACGTGATCCGGGGAAACGACTTCAAATTTGGCAATACCTATCAAATCAAATGGATGAGGTACGAAGGGCTTATCTAAAATGGGGTCCATATCAAATGCATTTAGAAAATTATCCTTTTTCTTTGAAATATTAGCATCCAATTGTATGTCAAGACACTTTTTTGATCAGATTTTCTTCATGGTTATATTATTCACCTTCAAAAGATGTTGCATATTGCTTGCCTTGCTATCTTTTTAGTAAAAAACCAAACGGACGCCTTAGTTCAGATGTTTTCATTGCTATAGGTGATTGAATTTGAATTCTAATTGCCCATGAGTTGATTTTCATCAACAAGTTTTCACTTTATTGATTATTTTCTCTACAAGTTTTAAAAGTTGGAGGAAAGTTAATAATGGAAAGAATTGTGCTTTTCTTAAACACATTGGGAAGGATCCTTGCTCACCAGGCAATAATGCAGTGAGAGCTTGTCAAGACTTGTTGAATCAAAATTGTCATATTAGGAATGTTTTTCATGTGCAAAGCTTAGATCAAATTACGAAGAATCGTTTGCGTCTCAAGACTTCAATTGACACGGTTCGATATTTATCACTTCAAGCTTGTGCTTTTAGAGGTCATGATGAAACTAGTGAATCAAGGAACCAAGGTAATTTTCTTGAGATGATAAAACTCATAGCATCATACAATGATGAGGTTGCAAAAGTTGTGTTGGAAAATGCTCCATATAATTCCAAATATACTTCCCATAAAATTCAAAAGGAGATATTGAATATTCTTTCTAGTAAAGTGAAAAATTATATTCGTGATGAAGTTGGGGACTCCAAGTTTTGCATAATTGTTGATGAGGCTCGTGATGAATCAGAAAAGGAATAAATGGCTCTTATTTTGAGATTTGTTGATAAAAAAAGGTTTTATACAAGAGCAATTTTTTGATATTGTGCATGTTAAAGACCCTACGACATTAACTCTGAAGAATGAATTATGTGTTGTACTTTCTCGACATAATTTTAATGTTTCTAATATTCGTGGTCAAGGGTATGATGGTGCTAGTAACACGAGAGGAGAATGGAATGGATTACAGACATTATTCTTAAATGATTGTCCTTATGCATATTATGTTCATTGTTTTGCTCATCGGTTACAACTTGCCTTGGTTGCTGCATCAAGAGAAGTTATTCCAATTCATCAATTCTTTTCAAAATTGACTTTTATTGTGAATATTGTTTGCTCTTCTAGTAAGCGTCATGATGATTACAAACTTCCAAGTTAGATAAAATTGCATATTTGTTAAAGATTGATGAGCTTGAAACTGGTAAAGGAGAAAATCAAATTGGTACTTTAAAACGAGCTGGGGATACTCATTGGAGCTCCCATTTCTCTTTTATTTGTAGCTTAATAAATATGTATGATGCAACTTGTTCTGTTCTAGAAAAAATTATTGTTGATGGATCTACTTATTCTCAACATGGGGATGCTGATAATGCTTACAAAAGCTTGACCTCATTTGAGTTTATATTGATTTTGCATTTGATGAGAGAAATTATGGGGATAACAGATGTTCTTTGTCAAGCTTTACAACAACAATCTCAGGATGTAGTTAATGCTATGCATTTAGTTCGTTCTACAAAAACACTTATTCAAAACTTGAGAGAAGGTTGGGATAAGTTATTAAAAAATGTGACATCCTTTTGTGAAAAACATGATATTGAGGTTCCTCAACTTAGTGCTTCTTATGTAGCAAGGCAAGGGCGCTCTCGTCACCAAAAAGATCATATCACAGTGAAACATTATTTGAGAGTTAAAATATTCTTTGTTTTAATTGATAAGCAATTACACGAGCTAAATTGTAGATTTAATGACCAAGCAATGGAGTTATTAACTCTAAGCTCGACATTGGTTCCTAAGGATGCTTATAAAGCTTTTAATATTGAAAACATTTGCACTCTTGTAGACAAATATTATCCCATGGATTTCAGTGAGCAAGAGAAGATTAATTTGCATTTCCAACTTCAACATTTCATTGTTGATGCTCGTCAAGATTCAAATTTGAAGAATTTATCAACAATGCAAGAGTTGTGTACATGTTTGGCAATAACAAAAAATTCAGAAGTTTACTACTTGATCGATAGATTACTTCGTCTTATCATGACTCTTCTAGTTTCTACAGTTACAACTGAAAGATATTTTTTTGCAATGAAAATAATCAAGACCAGGTTGAAAAATAAGATGGAAGCTGACTTTTTAGCAGATAGTATGATCGTCTATATTGAAAGAGATATTGCAACAAGTATTAGTTCTGACTCAATTATTGAACATTTAAGTCATTGAAACAGCGCAGAGCAGCACTTTAACTAAAGGTAAATTCTACTTATGTTTATATTATTTTAATGATAAACCTTATGTTAGGCTTGCATTTAAAATTTTAGATATATATACTAATGTCAATATTTAATTTATGCAGCCACTCCTGAATTTTTGTCCACCTAAAAATAATTATTGGCTTTTGGGTGGTTCTTTTTGCTTGACTTGCATTGCACAATTTTGGGTATGTCGTGTGTAATTGATACTATACAATACAAATAGCTTGGGCTATGTTAGTATATTATTTTGGATCTTATAGGAGAAAAGTGTACAACTTATTTTGGAGTTTACTTCAATTACTTTGGCTTGCTTCATTCCAGGTAACCTTTAACATTTAATAATAATATTTTATGATTATTTTATGAAATGATTAGTGAATGATAATACTTTTTGATGCAATAACACTAAGGCCAAGAAGTCCAAGAGGTGATGTATTGAAGGAAGCAAAAAGAATGGGTTAGTGTTGAAAAACCATAGGAGGAGTGAGGCCACTTTTGGACCTTAGCTCCTAAGTTTTTATTAGCATAGCATTTATTTTTATTCCTATTTTGCCCTTGTCTTTGATTTCCTATTTTACCCTTGTATTTTAGGGTATCTTAGACATAGGATCTATTTTACTTGTATTTCTAATTTTACCCTTGTATTTTGGGGTATTTTAGTCATAGGGTTTATTTTCTTTTTTATTTCCCATTTTACCCTTGTATTATGGGGTGCTTTAGATCATAGGTTTTTATTTTTGGGCTAAGGTATTTGATTAGGGTGGGAACAAAAACCTAGACGTACTGGTCTTATCATGCACCTAGATATAGTCAATCTAAACCCAAAGATTCCATCTTTGGCCACCAAGTTGCATCTAGGGTTAATTTGCATCTCATTTGGAGTGCATTTGCCTTGTGAATTTCAGCCATGCATCCTCCAAATGCAACCCTAGATGCCTCCCCTCCTATAAATACCCAATGCACCACACCTTGTAAATACTTTGGAAATTGAATATAAAGAGAGCATTTTGCCTTTATATCATCCTTAGTCACCTTGGCTAATTTCGGCCACCTCCCATCCTATCTCCACCTTGAGAGATAAACCCTAGAAGTGGCCTTCATCTACCTTGAAGTGAGCCAAACCCTAAAGTGCCCTCTCAAACCTTTCATCAAACACTTCACCCACACTCTCCATTTTCGTCCATTCTACCATATTCCTCCTCTAAACAAAACGCCTCCCTTGAAGGACTTGATCCAAGGAGTCAAGGTGTCCTCACATTGATCAACCAAACCATCAATGCTAGCAAGGATGCCATCACTTTTCTTGGATTTTATTATTATGCATGTTTATTTTGAGTAGAAAAATGAGGAATTTTATTATTTTTAATTAATAAAAAAATAATTTATATATAAAAAATTAATTTGGTACCCCAAAATTTTTTATTCAAGTTCCGCCACTGTATATGAGTTTGTTAGGCCTAAATTGGCCCACAAGAACATCTTGGACGTGAGATCCACTTAATTGGTCAATCACTTTTAGTGGATAAGGTGTTCTCATGACTAATTTAAGTCTCCAACATATCACATGATCTTGTCTAGTCACACTTTTAGTACCTTATCATATGGTAAGTTCCTATTGACTATTCTAGATCTAGGATATTAACATGAGTCACATTTTATTGTACCTTGCCATGTGACAAGTTTCTATTGGCTTTTTTAGATCTAGGATAGTGATATTTTTATGAGAGAAAATTGAAATTTCAAATTATGACTAGAGTTAGTAATCTTAAGTACAAGTTAACTTAACTTAGGTTACATGTAACCTAAGTTAGCTTAACTTGCACCACAAGTTATCAAACCTTATAAATAGATCCTTTCACATCTATGGCCCCAAAGAATAATCACATCAAAAGACATAACCAAATACTCAAAGTGTCCATAGCGGGTCCTACAAATGGTCTTTGGAATATCCTCTGACCTCACCTGGATTTGATGGTATCTTGTGATACCCTCTGTACATCATAGTGTACTAAATAAAATAAAACAGAGAATTTTTTAAATAATGCTACTAATTGAAATAAAACCTCTAGGACAGAAGTATCACATTAAATCCAACTAATCAATAAGCATAACTAAGTTTGAAAGCAATTACAAGGAAATAAAATTTTCACACTACAACAAACTCAACTAACGATTTAAGTCCTAGAATAAACATAACCAGCAGAATATTAACTCCTATCTATTGCACCGATGTCACATCTTATCAACACTCCTAACATATGATCTAAACTTTGTCACCAATCACATCATTATCATAACTAGATTCATCTACAACCATACATAAGAAACATACCAAAAAGAAAGGGGAGTGAAGGGTAAAGTCATTCACAAGATTAAACACTTAAAGGATAAAGCAAATTACTATTACCACTCGAAAATTGTATTTTTGCAACTTAATCTTCTATGATATTGTATGGTCCAAATACTATATCTAGAGCTACATACATTATATAACGTTGATCTTAATTTTTTTTAATAAATCCAAGCCAATTATATACATCTTCTATGTTAACCTCAAGAGTTAATTTTGTGATCTACTATTTTTAGAAATTACAAAATTGTAACTTTTCAGCCTAATTCTAATAGTTTGACCTTTACTCACTAATTTGATCATAACTTGTGTCAGAAATCATTTTTTTGGTGATTACAATGTTATTAGAAAACTAAAATCAAGAGATAAAACTATCATGAAGATTACAAAAACTAATTCGACTATTTAAGTCTCCTTGCAAGGGTTACAACGTACACAAGTTACATTTTGTGGACAATAACAATAGGTTCATATTCTAACTCGCATAACTCAATCATTCCTTAACAATTTTATATGATTCATGAGTCTAAATTGTAACCCCAAAAGTCTACTTTTTAACTTAACAATCGAAACTCAATTTGGTCAATTAGACACAAAGAAAACACATAAATACCAAGGTTTCATATCAAAATTTTCAAAACAAAGCACAACTCACTCAAACTCATTTCTCCAGTCCATAAGTAAAAACATAGATTAAAGCCTAAAACTACTATGTTATATTATCAATTACTGAACTCCAACATTAATTATACTTATTCATATTCATTACCTTTATTTATTTATTTTATTCCATCCTTAGGATTCTCTCAAAAAACAACAAGCACTCATAGATTCACAATTATAGGCAAGTATATAGATCAAAAACGTGATTTTTACCTATTATCACAACTAAAATACATAAAGATCCATATATAGCACATATTCATAATTACAATAAAGATTGAGATTTCTCCTTCGTACATCACACACAAACAAGATGAAATTGAGGGTCAATCTCACTACCTAGTAGATAACTCACACATTGGAGTGAGGTTCTCACTCCCCTTACCTCGATGGACATCAAAAGTTGGGTGTGGATCTCTGAGATCATCTCCAACTAACGAAATCATGCCAAGCGGTGTGTCATCCAAAAGGAGTCAAGAAGAATAGGCTAAACTACTAGGACCCAAGAGGATTGGGCCCATGTTGAGGTTAGTGGGCCTTAGCTCATCTTATGTTGTGTTATATTATCCCAATATCTTCAAGATGTTTGTATATATTTTCTTTAGTTTGGGCCTTGTATTTTAGACCAAGTAGTTTAGTTGTTTTAGGTCTTGTATTTTTGGCCAACTAATGTAGGGACTTTATTGTAATTTTCCTTCTTGTGTAATTTTGTGCCTAGGAGGTACAACTTTTATTTGTGTCTTGGACTAACATTTGAATTGATCTGATCTACCCATGTGATTGGCCAAGTGGGAATGACACACATGGATAGGATAAATCAAATTCAAATTTTAATCACATAGCATTCAAATTAAGTCACACCTTCTTTCTTTGCCACATGGCCTACTCTCATTGGTTATTGTGCATCTTAGACCAAGGAGCTCTGAATGATCTTAGAGGAATTCGGCCATGACTTCTCCAAGAGAATTCCATCATTTTGGTATCAAGAGCATTGGTTCTTTCATAAGATGTTGTCTTCTAATTTTTTCCTAATTTTTCTAAGTCAAATTTGTCCTTAATGTCTTGAAGTTTTAATGTTGATTAGATCTAAGTTTTTGTATCAATTTATATATATATATATATATATATATATATACATGTCTTGAAAAATATTGATTCATAAAATTATTGTTTTAGTGTTCTTGAATCAATTTTTGTTAAAGCTTTAGGATTCGTTCCTTATATGCTTTTTTTTAGTCTTTATTCATATTTACATGGTTTGTATTCAATATTTTCATAAAAACATTGGATGTTTCTAATTTTTGAATCAATTCAAGTTGTCTAAAGTCATGTATAATCTTAATGTGTCATATGCTTCTAGTGATACCTAATGTTCTTTGAATTTTCAAAATTGATGCAAACATGTGGCCAAATTGTTTGAGCTTTTGTGTTTGAGTTCATATTCATCATTAGATCATTGGATAATTCATAAAATTAGGATTCTTTTATGTCTTACTAGTTGTCTTAAAATTTTAAAAATATCCTAAATCTTTTTTGGCTCCAAAACTTAAATTCAAACTTTTGGTGATTTGAATTTGAATTTCAAATTTAAAAGTGCAGCACATGCATCATATAGAATTGAATAAATTGGTCTAGTGTTGTCAGACATGTGTGCATGCCTACATTGAAACACTAAATCACCAACTAATTTAATTTGAATTTCATTTGCTACTTAAATTGCAATTTTCAAATTTAAATCTATTAGAATTAATTTTTGCAAATATTTTGAATATTTTTTTAAAATGAAAGAAGTTAAGACATAGCTCAAAAAAAATGAAATTAAAGAGTTTATAAAAAAAATAGTACAAATTATTGAATAAAAAAATGAATGGAGCTTGAATTTAATATATATATATATATATATATATATATATAAATTTAATTAAAATATTTGTCACATGAACTTGATTCTAAATTGCAATTATTTCATTGGAGATCTCTTGAGTCATTTTATTGATTTTGTCATCCAATCTAGAACCATTCTAGGAATTTCCTTTTTGAGTGTTAGCCTTTAAAATTCCATTAATTTTAACTTGTCACTTTTATTGGCTTTCTTTGAGTATGTCGTATCCAATTCCACTTTGAGTTTAACTTTTCTAATTTTTAAATTTTCTTGTTTGTCTCTTAAATTTCACCTAGTCTTTGGTGTGCTAACTTTCAATTGAAGGATATTCAAGACTACTTATGTAACACCTGAATTTTTGTAATTAATTACCTGTAAATTTTTTGTAAATTATTATATGCTTTATTGTAATAAATATGA